GGGGGGGGGGGGGGGAGCAGAGACAAAAGCTTTTAGCCATCTAGCCTGCCATCACAAGTATTCCATCAAAAAATAGCTGTAAAACAATCCAGCTCCGCACCAACATCTTTGTTTAAAAAGTGTGGAGTGTCACAAAGCATTTCAGAGATCAAATGGGTAAAGATCCAAAAAGTGCCAAAACCTGCACTCAGAAGTACCTAGGAATCTATTTAATAGTCTCGACTAACAGTCATTGAAGGTATCTGCAATAGTATCTGTTGAAGGCAATCTTTCAGTCTCCTCCAGTCCTGCCCACAGGGTTTCAGCAGAAAGACAGACAACTTAAGGAAGAGTAGTTAAATATATTACACAGATTTCTTGTGTAAAAGGGAAAAAGAATGGAGTTACTCAAATCTATCTCAAAAACTTCTAGTTGTCAAAACTGGAATGCTGGTTTTTGAAAGGCTTTAGTATACCAGTTTTTCAAGAAAATACCTTGAAAATATCCCTAATTAACATACTTATGTGCTCAGCAACATATTAGAATTCATACAGAGACCAAGAATTAAATCAAAAATGTATCTGGCTTGAATTGCATATATTAGGATCTTAGATTTATACATTTTAAATTAGAAATACCAAAGAAATCTTAGTCTAAGCAAGCTAAAATAAAACATTTACCTTCTCCAATTTTTTCCTTAATTTTGAACACATTTACAAGCTGTGGCACTGCTTCATAAAGTTTTTCAATGTCTTTTTTTATTCCTGCTGTGGAAAAAATGGGAAAAGTGAGTTAGGAAATTTATTTCTTGATTCAATATCTGATCTATATTTGCGATCACAAGTCACACTTGAGTTTACAGGAATTCACTTAAACAGAGGAAAAAACAGCAGACAGGTATCTATCCCTGCTGACATTAGCATATGCATACTTGGTAGTACTGTTGTTCTGCATCACACTCCGTTTTAAGCTGCAGCATTTAAAAATCTGTTGGGTTTGTTGTTTGTTGGTTTTTTTTACTTATCTGCTATCTAGCAGTTCCTGAGAGGGCAAAAGCCTTCTGGTTAGTAAAACACCAGATTACATCTCATTGATAAATGTTTTCATGAGATAGTTGTTTCTGTAAGCACAGGAGCACATCCATCGGATGCAAATCAAAAAGGTAGGAGTTTTATTTGTTTTTTTAATCAACAATGCAGTGTCTTTCACACTGTTACTTAAAATAATAAGCACCAAAAAACATGCTTGCTCTGCATTTAAACTGATGCACTTTGTGCTGCGATCACTAGATGGCACAACAAGGATGTTGTACTGTTTTATTTCAAGAATTTATGTAGCTTTCCATTCAGTTTATGAACCCTTGTTGTTTAAACATTCTCTATACCCTGCATAAGAATTCACTTCTTTTGAAGCTATGAAGTATGTAGAGGCTGTGACTAATTTATATAAAGCAGAGGTGAAGAATATTTTATTATTTAGAACTAAGCACAAACTGGTATTTGGAAAGTCAATCAAATAGAAAAAAGAAATGTGTATACATTTTTCATCCTAAAAATAATAAATTACATTTCACATAAATATATAAATAGTGTTATATACAGAAAAATGTACAATGTTTTACCAGGAGCATAAGTCACATGCAATGAGAATAATTTTCAAAATATCAACGATATGCTAGAAACAAAGTATAGATTAGCATGCATCCCCAATCTTCTATGCTAGCTCAATTTATACAGCAACAGAATCTTAAATCTACCTAAAGAACCCTTTCTTCCTGGTAAAAGCCCAGTAAATTAGTTGGTAATTCAACTTATTTTTGACTGTAATTTCTTTTTATTTCAAAAAACTATAAAAACTAACACACTTTTGAGAACTGTTGCCTCTCTTACTATTCATTTACTTTTTTTTTCCCCCTTTAAGTTGTTTCCTCTGCTTCTCCAAGTTATTTTGTTTTAAGTCATTTAGGGAGGGATATTTCAGAAATTAAAAAATACCTCTATACTACACACCAAAACCATCAACATTCATATAAGATACATTTGATCAACCAATAAAAGGTTGTTAATCAGTTTTGCTAGGAATCATATTTAAAAACTTCAAGAATATGTTAGGATAAAAATGACCAGACTTATATTAACAGTCAAGATGTACAGGACCTTGAGTCTTAATAATCCCTGAAGGAAAAGGCTAAGGAAAACTGGTCAGCTGTACAGTTATTCTGGTTATTCCCCAATTTTACAGAGCCAGATTAATCTAAACACCTTGAAAAGTAGGAAATGGAAAGCTTGCAAAATCACTTCATTTTCCTGTCAGTATAGTAGATATTTCTGTTGAAAATACACTAAAAATTCAAGAAGTTACTACCTAACATTGTTTTGATAGCATTCATATTGCCCGTGTGCTCTGAACTTTTACAGCAATAATAGATAAATTTCTTGACATTCTTGTTATTTTGTCACTGAAAAAACCTGTTGATAAAAAGTTTTATCATTTAAAAAGTAGTATTTCCAGTTAGTTTAAACAGTAAGTTCAACTTTTCAAACAAATGTTTGTGTATTACATAACAAATGTAAAACATTCAAGAAAGCTTTCTGAAATCCTCAGAAAATATAGGAAGGGGAAAGGCTGCTATTAGTACTGTATTCCATTTTCACCAAGAATACTCAAAGATGTTAAGAGATGAAGCCACATAACAGAACTATAAAGAACTTAACATTGAAACATTACTGAGTTGCTCAAAGACCTACACTTTCCCCTCCAGAAGACAGTCCTGTTACTGGGTCCTGAAACAAATATGATCCCAAGAGGTCAGTAGCCACAGAACAGAGCTACAAGACTGTTTTCAAAAGTGATACAGTTCAGACAGGCTCTGTTAGAACAATGTTGCTTAGATTAGTTTGCTATCTAACCTCCTCCAAATAAAGCAACTTAGTCTTGTTCCAATACTTTCATTTTACTCAAGACTTCTTATGAGAGTTGCTTAGGCTTCAGTTTTTACTAAAAAAAAAGTATACTGACAGTAACTTACCACATAAAATTTGCACTGGAATTTCTCCAGTAAAGTTGCTTGGTTAGTAAATAAGGTCTTAAATCTTGCAAAAAGCAAAACTGCCAAGGACTCAAAAGACCTTTTAAGTCTTTAGAAACTGGCAGATTTCTACTTTCCCTACCCATATCAGGTTTTGGGTTGTTTTGTGCCACCAGTCTAACATTCCTAAGGTAGCTATTAACAATCATGAAAAGCTCTCTCAGTAACTGCTACAGCATCTGCCAAATACTCTGTTTTGTCTGACAATTAATTCAGGTTCCTGCCTGGATAAAGTTCAATGCTATCGGAGCACAAACAGCTGGGTGACACAGGTTGCAGATTCTAGGCCAGAGTAGTGCCTATCTGAGAGCATTTAGTAACGCAGCACAGCTTCTTGTGTTGAAAGATCCCAAAAAGTGCTAGAAACAGTCAGCAACTGTCCTTGTTGACAGAGAGCAGTATAAACATCATCTTCTGGGACCTGAATCCCCAGTTATATATATATATATAAAAGCTGGTTGACCACCCACAATTACCTAGCAAGCATTGCACAGAAGGTCCAGATTGAAGTACATTCACAGAGAGACTCAAAAATGAGCAATAAAAACACATTTGTAGTTCAGCCTCTCTGGTAAGAGCGAACAGTGGGTTTATGCACAGAGACACGTCTAAAGATATTTAAGGATAAAGCTGGCAATTATAGGTTAAAAGGCAAAGTATTATTTTTGTGTACTTGTCTGGTCAGAGAATTTTATTCTCAGGGATTGCCTTTTTTGAATTCTGGTATCCTCTTATAATAACATATTCTGTAATAAATAGTCGAGTTGCTGAATTGTGACAAACTACTACTGCTGAAGTTTTGTAACATACAAAAAGGAGGAATAAACTTAAAATCAAAAGTCACCTCAAACATTGTAATTTCATTAATTTTTTATACAATAAGATCATATGCAGACAGGCTTATAATTGATGCTGAAATCTAAAACAACGAAGCAGTATGTCAGCAATAAAACATAACGTTAGCCATCTCTGTTTTAGCACGTACCTGAAAGCTTGTTGTTCTGCTCATGCTTCCCATGGAAGTCTTCAGCCTGATGAGGGTGCTGTTCATCACAGTGAGACTTCAACACCGTCTCCATCACAAAACAAACCTGAAGTTAAAATTCAAAGACTTTGAGGACCACTTCTGGACACCTGGGGGAGCAAGCATCTCTGGTTAGACACTTTCTGGCCCTGCACTTAGTTACTGAGGAGAAATTTAGAGAGTCTGAGGAGTTCCTGCGTGGCACCTAAAACAACAAAGCATAACCCATAATTCCAGAGAAAAACTAACCCAGTAAAACCCCTCTATCTCTAGTAAGAGGAAAAAAAGGGGGAAGGGAAGGAAGACAGCAGGATAAACTGAGACACAAGTGATGTTCTTTCATCTCTTGTGTGTCTTCTCGTTCACATTAAAGCATTATCTTTTCCCTGAAGTTTGCTTTGAAAGACAAGGAACGGATGCACACAGAAACAGCTGCATTGGATACTGCAACACCCATACAAAGACAGAAAACCTGAAAGAAATTAAAAAAATATGGTCTCAATATGAGAGATTTCTCTCTCTTCTAGATAAAATCAACAAAAGGCATTATTATTTGTTGCCCTCTCCCATAACAAGAAATAATAGCACATGCTTATTTTGAAATGCTTCTTGCTTGTGAATCAGTAAAGTGTACTAATATTGTACAACCAAAAAATATTGTACAACCTAAAAACTGATAATTTCATGAGGAAAGGCAGAGAGCCCCGGGGCAGGATAACCAGTGATAAGTGAGCCTGAAAGCACCACTTCTTATAGTTGCCCAACACTGGTTCCATTCAAAGATCTTCCTTGTTTGTAACTTTGCCAAACCCTCAAAGTTCTAACTGAACTTTTCCACACAGAGGAAACATATTCTGAAAAACTTCAAATTAAAGGATTCATCTGTTTCAGCTATGGAGCTAAAAATATATTTGTCCCCAAAGAACATGAGCTACCTTGATTCTGTCATCCTCGTGCAAAAGAACAGGGACAGGCAACAGTCTCTTATTTTGAGCAAGCTTTGCTGGAAAGTGGGACTTGGAAACTAATGGAATGAGATTAGAGATATTTCTAGAGTCTCACAGGTAGACACTCCCTCCGCTAGTGCTGAGTAGGCAGACAAGCCTGTTCCAAACCTGAAACGGCATGGCCTCATTAGCAGAATAAGTAGTGCAAATTAATACAGACACCCCTCCTCCCCGCCGCTCACCACGACCTACTTGCTCCGATTCAGCTCTAGGCTCTTCCAGTTCAAGGCAGGTCACACCTTGTTTGCAAAAAGAAAATGCATGCTTCTGTCTGCCTGCAAACCGCCATAGGAACACGTTCATGGCTTACTGGCCATGAGGAGGGTGAAAGGGGCTCAATAACTCCAGGTGTCATTTCCATTTATTTTTGTTAAGCAAAGAAGCTACTATCTGCAGAACTGAATACCTCGAATACTTGAGTATATTCAGAAATGGTTTACTACTCTGGAAGTGTAACAAAATGGAGCATCAAACAAAATCTGATTCAGATATTTACTTTTTACATTGAAAAAAACTTAAAAGACACTATTAGATAAAAAATTAAGAGGAAGACCAAAATGATCCAAACTTTCTGCTTAGAGAACTTGCTTGTTGTTAAAGCACATCTCCAATTTAAGAAAAAATGTTCTCCATATCAAAACAAGAAAAAAAAAACAAAACCCGGATAGTGACAGATTCAAACAGCCCACATTGCTTCATAGTCTTTTGAGTCAGCTATCTGAACCCCGCAGACAGAAATTAGTGACAGTGCTGCTGACTCCCTGTCTAATGCAATACTGCTAAGAAGAACCCAGTCTGCTGCCACTAAAATGCAAAGCTCCTTAAGTGGGAACTTACACAGACCGTCTTGGAAAAAACAGCACTTCAAAATAAAAGCTGATATTAATATCTCTACTTTGTCATTTAACGAAAACAAATGTTGTGGCTGGATTAAGTCTTGCATTAAGTTGATGTTTTTCTACAGACGCAATAAATCCATCTATTACATTACAAGCAAGAAAAGTCACACATCTAGAACTTCAGTTTGCGCTGATGATGTCGATACTGCCAGAGAAAAGGAAAACGTCTGGTGCTTGTCAGAGCAGGCTGGCTTTACAGGACAGCCCCTGGTAGCAAGGCTCCGGGCTAAGCCCACGTTCCCCGTTGCATTCGAGCTGCAGCCTAAGAGCACGCAAGCTGCAGACGGGCGGGGGCACCCGCAAAACGGCGGGGCCGGAGGCCCCGGGCGACATACAAGCCGTTATAAGGAGGCGGCGGGGGATCCGCGCTGGTGGGCCAGTGGGCGCGGGGCTTCCCGGGCGGTGGCAGCCGCCAGGAGCGGGGAGAAGCAGCACCCCAGCGCCCCCTCCCTCCCCCCCTTCCC